AGCTTCAATCCATATTGAAGACTGCAATCCTTGACCTTCTGCAGCAAATGCTTCAGGTCCTCCTCAGTTTCAGCGAGCAGGGTTGTGTCATCCTCATAACCCAGGTTGTTGACGATTCTTCCACCAATCCTGATGCCACATTCCTCCTCGTACAGCCCAGTGTCTCGGATGATCTGTTCTGCATACAGATTGAAAAAGTATCAGCAACGCTATAAACAGCAGATCTGTACCCTGCCCTGTCCTGGGCCATCCTCATCATAATCTGATAGCCTCGAGTCCATTGTGACAGTCACTGTGTCAATCTATCTCATTGAGGGTCTTCCTCTCTTTCTCTGACCCTCCACATTTCCAAGTTTGATGTCTTTTTCCAAGGACTGACCCCTCTTAACAGCATGGCAAATTTATTTCACAAATAGCATTAAAATAACTTTAACTAAACACTATTTGATATAAATGTGTGTGTGTAGATTTGTAAGATTTGTATCAAGAAAACATCAAGAACTCCTTCAAACCAATAAGAAAAGGATAAACATCTCAATATCTTAAAATGGACAGAAGACTCAAACAGACATTTCATAAAACAGACTAGAAATACATGAAAAGGTACTCCCAACAACTGAACTCATCAGAGAAATGTAAATTAAAACCACAAAGAGATACCACTACACACTCACCACAAGGAGGGCTAAAAAGAAAAATCTGGAAATGTCAATACATGGAACAATTGGAACTCTCACACATTGCTGGAAGAAAGGGTATCTTATTTATCTAGTGTAGCTATAACAGAGATCCACAAGGGGATCTCTTTAACAACAAAAATGTATTCTCTTGTAGCTACAGTTTATGAAGCTGGAAGTCCAAGTTCAAGGTGCAGTCTCTAGAGGAAAGTTCTCTGTCAGTTGTGGAGGAAGGTCCAGGTCTTCTTCAGTATCTGTTTTTGTTGTTAGTACGTGTCACTGGGCCATCTGTGACTCATAACGACCCAGTGAGCAACAGATCGAAACCCTGTCTCATCCTGTGCCGTCCTCATCATTTCTTTTTTTCTTTTATAAATTTAATTTTTAATTTTATTTATTTTCATGAAAGTTTACAGAGACTTTGGATTTCCATTCATTCGTTGTTGCACACTTTCCTCCCTCCTCACCCCTCCCCCAGTTTGCTTTCCCTTTGAAAAGTAAAAATAAAAAATCTTTCATTGTTATATAATCCTCCCCCAGTACACTCCACTATGCAGCTTTCATTCTAGACTCTTGTCATAACAATAATATCTAATCACATATTCTTCCTAAACTGTTCTCTCCCTCATCTGCTTCAATGCAGTAGACATTATTTATCCCCTCTTAGTTTCCCTCAACTCCAGTGTCAGTCCTTCTTTAAACAGTGACACTATATGTATTTGTCTTTTTGTGACTGAGATCGTTCACTCAGCATAATGTCCTCCAGGGTCACCCATTTTGAATAATATTCCATGAGTTCCTTGTTTTTCAGTGCAGCATAGTATTCCATTGTGTGAATATACCACAGCTTCTCGGTCTATTCATTTGTTGATGAGCACTTGGGTTGTTTCCAGCTCTTTGCTATTGTGAACAAAGCAGTAATAAAGATGGGTGAGCATATATCTGCTTGGTGGAAGTTCTGGTTTCTTTAGAGTATATTCTCAGGAGTGGAATTGCTGGGTCAAGTGGTATTTCTATTTCCAACTTTTTGAGAAAGCGCCATACAGCCTTCTATAGTGGTTGCACCATTTTACACACTCACCAACAGAGAATAAGGGTTTCAGTTTCTCTGCAGCCTCACCAGCATTTGATGTTTGCTGTTCTGTTATATTTTGAAATTCTTACTGGGTTGAGATGATATCTCCTAGTTGTTTTGATTTGCATCTCTCTTAGAGCTAAGGATTTTGAACATCTCTTTATGTGTTTCTTTGCCATCTGAATGTCTTCTTTGGTCAAGTGTCTGTTCATATCCTGTGCCAATTTTTCAGTTGGATTGTTTATCTTGTTGTGGTACTTGAATATTTTATAAATTCTGGATATAAGTCCCTTATCAGATATGTCCTTACCAAATAGTTTTTCCCAGTCTGTGGCTTCCCGTTTTACCCTGTTCTTAGAAGGTCCCATTCATCTATTTTATCCTCTCCTGGTTGTAAGTTCTTCAGGATACTTGGAAGACTGTTTGTTTATGTTGCAGATTAGAGATTTTAGAGTTCTTCCAAGCTTTTCTCTAATAAAATTTATGGACCTTGGTTTTAGTCCTAGATCCATGATCCACTTTGGGTTGGTTTTTGTGTGTAGATTGAGGTGTGGATCTTGCTTGAGTTTTCTACAGATAGTTTTCCAATTTTGCCAACACCGCTTATTAAAAAGGCTGTTGTTTCCTCACTTAACTAATTTCATCTCCTTGTCAAAAATCAGTTAACCATACGTATATGGGCTGATTTCCAGGTTCTCAATTCTATTCCATTGACCTATGTGTCTGTCATTGTACCAGTACCACGCTGTCTTGACCAAGATGGCAGTGTGGTAGGATTTTAAATCAGGAAGTGAGATGCCTCCTACCTTGTTTCTCTTTTTTAAGAGTGCTTTGTTTTTCAGGGCCTCTTTCCATTCCAAATGAAATTAGAGATTGCCTTT